TGATATTCTTCGTTGGGTTTATGAAAATACTCAACAATCAACTTGGGATGGTTTACATCATTGGGCTTCACAAAGTTTAAGTTATCAAAGAAAAGTTTCTGCATTTCAACGTATTAATTGGAATGATGATCAACAAGTATTTACTGATGGGTGGATGAAGGATTTAGCCAATGAATGTTCAGAACCTGAAGTAATTGAACTGACAAAGATGTATGGAGCTTCGAAAGCAATGCAAACATTAGTCGAGATTCATCATAATCGATATGAACAAACTTCTCACGATATATGGAAAGAAATGAAAGATGCAGTATTAGAACGATTAGAAGATTATGCTGGAGCAAAACAACGTTTATCACAACTATTGGATGAAGAACAACAACGAGAGTTAGAACAAGAATTAGAAGAAGAACGTCAACTTGAACGCCCACCACCTGTCAAACCATGTCAACCTATACTTCATGAAGAAATAAAACAATTATATGATATGCAAAGTATTATGATGAATCTAACACAATATCCTCGTGTATTTCGTCGTTTACCTTATGCTTTCATTGGCACAACATTTGCCAATGATTGTCAAGCCGAGCATTGGCAAGAAAATTTTTGGATTTCAACTGAATTTCAACGTGTAATTGAGACTAAAGGAGAATCATTAGAATCATTTTTACGTCCCCCACGATGGATTATTATCTATCGTAACCAACAATTAATTTTACTTAGTGCTTTAGAAGCCAATTGGTTGATAGCGCGTTTAAACTCTCTTTATCACAAAGGAGAAACTGAAAACCCATCAACTACTACATTACGATTATTATTACCACGTATCAAACGAGTTCAATCAATATTTGTCAATACACCAACACTCATTATTCCTCCGTTAATTCGACATTCCATTGATATTGTTCCTTTCTTTATATCGCTTCAATGGTTGGTTCAATTATTTATTTTTAATGGTACACTTTATTTTGAAACGGTTGATGAGCAAACAGCTTATTGCCAATGCTTGAGTTTATGTCCGAAACCTCGAACGAAGGAAGAAGAAGAAGCTTTTAAAAATGGTTGGATCGCTGTTGATGGCTTTGTTAGTAATAGCGAACATCGTTATGCTTTGATGTTACATGAAGTTCAATTCCATAATAATCTATTGGCATTTGTCAAGCAAATTATTGAAAATCGAAATAACTCACATGCACCTATGACGTCACATGTTGGTAGTATTATTCTTAATTCACTAAAACTTATTTAATCTTGCACCGATTGAACATACCTACATCATATTTAATTCAGAAATATTTTCAACTGACGCTTGCTATAAGTATAACAGAAAAGAATTCAATAAAGATTCAAAATACCCGATAATAGATAACTTTCGAATTACACCTAAACTATTGAATTACAAAAGTACTATGACGTGTTGAGTCTTACGGGAAAGGAATCAAAATCTTTTAAGGTTTTATTCTATCCATTGTTGAGAAAAAACATCATGCTGATGAACTAAATTTCTTTCCAATTAAACAAAAAACGTGATAAATCGATGCAATATGATCGAGCTTTGCCAATAAAGAACATACAATCATATAATATATCTTCAGAGTGTGTGTGTGCATACTTGTCAGATGAGCTCGCGAACCCTTTTTTCAACGGTTTCACATGATTAGATGCTATTTATGGTGTGGATGTGGGTGTGGATGTGGGTGTGGATATGGGTGTGGATATGGGTGTGGGTGTGGATGTGGGTGTGGATATGGGTGTGGATGTGGGTGTACATTCAACGCATCTACTCGCACACCCACACCCACACCCTGCAGTATTCTAGAGGATTTCAACGACGAAATCAGAGTTTTCGTGAAAAGCTCCTTTAAAGGCGTCTAAAGAAGTTTAATTACAAACTTCGCAAATAAATTGAAATGCGTATCCAGCTGCTTGGATTTATGTAATAAAAGGCATCTTAGTGCCTTTTTGTAAGTAACCACAGTGTTTTCAATGGTTAAAACGTAGGAATCAGAGTTTTATAAAGAAAACCTTTAAAGACGTTTAAAGAATTTTAAGATTTAACTTGATAGTTAAGTTGATATGGATATCCATCTGATTGGATTCTTGTTGGAAAAGGCATTTAAGAGAGGGTCCGTGAGAGGACCTACCAACTTCAACAGAAATCGGCCGCCGCTAAAATTTTGATTTTCGATTTAAATATCTCAAACTATAGATCATCATTCGAAACCTCTAAATCCAAAATATGAGCTCTTTCTGACTTACCTGTGAAAAATGGCAAAGCTCACAGTGACCCTCCCTCAGGCAGTTGATGAAAAAAAAATCGATTTTTTTACAGTGCTGTTAGTATTTTAGCCTTTTCTCTGCAGTTGTTTGCCAGTTTGATCTCGAAAACATTTCAAAAGGTGCCGAAATGTTTTCTCTACAAAACGGAGTAACTGAGTTATTTCTGAGATACATTTTACTAATCCATAATATCAATATACGAGCAAAAATGTTGGTTGAGTAAAATGAAAATTTTCTGGTATTTGGCCTCTAATCACGCTGGGTGATTCTGTCCCAAAAATATTTTGTATATTTTCTGAAAGCCCTTGGAATTCTGCATCGGTTTAAGTAGGGTGTGGGTGTGGGTGTGGGTGTGGGTGGGTTTGGGTGTGGGTGTGAGGGCTCTGGGGTTGGATGTTTATGTTCTACTCGCACCCACATGGGCATCCACACCCACAAGCTTAAAAAAGGCTTTTTTGGTGATTATCCGTAGATTTGATAAAATGAAGTTGTAATTACGAAATATTGAAGAAGAAGAATACCCTGTATTTCAGTTGCCTTGCGACGGGGATGCTGTCCGAAGACAGTTTTAAAAGCCCAATTTTTTCCTACAACTATTACTAGTGGTAGCTCTAGATGGAAGACCGGCCTGATTCAGAATTCCTCTCGCTTAATTACTTGAACTTTCCATGTGCACTGACTAACCATATACTAGTTACAGAAGCTTGTGTATGGCAACAACGTAATCAATGTGCTATCGGATGGGTGGTCCGAGAGATGTAACCGTTAGTGACTTGTCCAAGGTCATTCTATGTCTGGTGGCGTCAATGTGCGAGCACATTATCTTGTGAATATGTGCTGAGCATCTTAACCAGTTGGTCATAGCGGCATACGAAATATTGGCTATATTACAATGATAAACTAACGCATTTCTTAAATGTTAAATTTTCTACTTACACTAAAAAAATAAATGTGTCTATTCTGACATTTGATACATTTTCTTACACTATCACTAGAAAGAAAATGGCAACTTTGAGTTCGAATAAAAATATGGTTTGTAAAATTGAGACAGAGGATTAACTATACAACTTTCATAAAATATTTCTTGTTAAAAATTACAATTGATCGAAAACTTTGAAATTCTTGTGTAATAAACATAAAAGCAATATGAAATCATCTCATACATGTCAACAAAAGTATTCTCTAAAAGTGGTTTATGATAAGAGTCCCTTTGGGATTGAAACCGCAGAGTAAGGTTTTATCGATCATTTCTACATTTCGGCAACAATCATTTTTCTCGTTTTTTAGGAGCACTTTATTATTTTTTTTATTTACACTGATACTATTCTCAATTTAGTCTTCGTTATCTTATCTCACTGTGATTTTTTATAAGCATTGAATTAAATGACAAATAAGACTGTTGTGAATATCTTTTGCATTAGAAATTGAAATTACAGCTTTCCGTCAGGAATTTTAAAAAATCTCCTATAGAACATAGTGCATTTTCGATTTTTCTGAATTTTGATCTATTCCAAAACAATAGATTTTGACCCATTTCTATATTCTTCAAATGACAATTTTGTCTCATCAATGCATCCCTATCAATCACCATCGAGATCGTGAATAAAATTTTTTGTTATTACAACAGTCAAAGCTATTTCGCTATTGAGAACATTCAGAAACGTATTCCGGTAATTTAGGTTTTATAGAACGGTTCAAGAAACTCAAGAGTATATTTGTTAAATTCTAAGTCTTGCTGCTAACTTCATTCGGGACTTCTAGACTGGGTTCTCAGGGCCACTGATCGCGTGAGAAAGAAAGAATCATAGAACTTCGACATATAATATACACTCACTATTTTCTTTGAAAATGTATGGGAGCTCAACTCTAGGAGAGAAATGTAGAGGACTTATTATGCCAAATACAGATAGTATCTTAGAAGAGAACGAACGTTTTAATAAATGTTTGCATGTGTGATAAATACAAGAAAATAAATTATTCATCTCAGTAAGGAACGATCATATAAATGAAGTTTATTATGGCTACCGATTTTATTTTAGTCTAAATTACATAATACTTCTATTGTGCATTCGAATCATTGTAATCAGTTTTTTACCAGAACAACGTAATGATTAGGATAAACATACCAATGTTTTTTAAATGTTGCGTCTGTCGGACGGCTCGCTTGCTTGTTGATTGATTTCTATTTCACTTACAAAGTATCAAAACACTGAATATTTATTTATTTTTCTTCCTAATCTGAATGCCACTGTGTATTTACTTTGCTAGTATACAGCTGAATGCTTCACTTACCTTTTACAAGCAAATAACTAAATCAAATATTTACACTGCTGTATTTATATGTGGAAAATATAAAGTATACATACCACTCTTACTTCATACCTTCATTTTATTTCAATTTTTGTCAAGAACATAGTATTGAATAGGACATATCATATCAGCAATACAGAACCCTGAATTGAGAGTAGACGAATAATAATGACCAACCAGAAACGAATTTCTTTTTGCTACTCAAAAAGTTCTCATTATTCGAAAGTAAATATACCAGAAATCATAACGAACTTCATTCAGCATTAACAATAAGTAACGCTCGGTGCTGCATCTGGCTTATCCCTCGACTATATCTTGCCTGTACTCTAAAAACAAGTACAGAATAATAAACTGTTTAAGGGTTTATGAAAGTGCAAGTTATAATAAACCGTTTTTACCATATATTCGAATTTTCATAAACGCCGGAAAGGTTCATTATTCTGGAATTTTGCTTTACAGTGTAGTTATGCAGTGCCATTGCTTTCTGTATTCCATGCTGAGAACTGCCGGAGAAATCACATGCACCAAGCGAAAAACTGCAAAATGTAGTTAGTAATCACTGTTCCACAACATGACAATATATTTCTGTTTTCGCTTGTAACACAATCAAAGAAAGAGTGGATGGGTGTTTGTGAAGGTTAACATAAGAATGACTCTACGCCAACCCGCCTACACCCACACCCAATTTTCTGAAAGAGCATATATCATAGGAAAAAACCTTGTTAACACGGCTCCTTTGGGACTCAAAAGTGGCCTGAAGTGTGAGTGACGAGAAGATTAACACCCACACGCTCAAGTTTTTTATTGGAAGAACTTTCTAATGGATAAAAGGATTCATTGCACTGTTCATGTAGATAATATATGATGCATAATGAAGTTACTTTCATTGAACCCAGAAGTCATGGAAAGTTTATCAAAACTTGTAACAAGGTTGGAAACGAAGCAATACGTCGTCATATTCCACAGAACGAGAAGCCTCTTCCCTTTCAATCCTATTCACATCTACTTCTAAAAATAATTGATAACGTAGATCGATCTTCTATTTTTAGAACGAGATAAATAGATGTGTTGAGATGCAATTGATTATTAACAAAAAAAGTTGCACTATTCTATTTTGATCAGTATGATCCTTTTTTTCTAAAGTTAGATTATTCAAAAATAGAAAATCGGTACTCATCAGATTGATTCTGTTCAACTTAGCCTTTTGGTTTCAATTGGGTCAATGTAGTTGCTTCTTTTATGCGTTAAGATGTTCTTCTAAATGTATCAATAGTGAACTTTCATCCTTCTCATACGTTGTAACATTCTTCACACTCAGATGAGTGTCCGGTATTCGGAGAACTTCTTTCATATCAGAGGCATCTAAGTATTGAGAAATGTCTTTGCTGTCAATGGCATCAAGCACCAGTAGTATTCCTTTCAGAATGTGGTACTCTTTTATGATGAGATCCGAAATCATTGAACAGAAGCTTATCCTAGACCTAATAATACATTTTCGTGCTTGAATTTTACTTAATTTGTTAATATTGCCAAGAGCGTTCTCGATAATCAGACAATTTTCAAATTGTAGAATTGAATAATCGAAGAAATAACAGTCAACATTTGGATTATTGTCTCTCTTCAAAGCACAATGCTTTCTAACGTCTTCGATCTAAGTAT